ATCAGATGGGCACTCTGCTGTGGACAGTGGCGGAGCTGGGCTATTAGGCAGCCCCTACTATGCCCATAACCATTTCCTGCCCCCGGAGGCGGATGGGCCCTTGTCTCTGGGACTGCCCCATCTTTTCTCCCCCATCTCCCTGTTGAGCCTCTGTGGAGATCCAGGGACTCAGCCTAGGCGAGTGGGGAGGCAGGGATCAGCTGTGTGGGGTGCCCCAAGGTCCAGCCGAACTGAGTAACTGAGTGCCACCGGGGGGGCAGCGTCATGAACAGCAACTTGATCTCCAGCCCCACAGCGCTTAGCAGCGGAGTCCCCCTGTGCACGGCCTGCTCCTGCAGATACCACCCTGCTGTCAGCGTCCCCCATCCCCCTCCGCCTCGCACGGCACAGCACCTGCGCTGTCAGCCTGCCTTCCTGCCCCTTCCCCAGAAGGGATGCGCCTCCCCCCATGCACAGCCCTCCAGGGCTCCCTTAGCCCATCTCCTTGTCCAAGGAGTCACTAGCCACCTCCCTGGGGGGCCTGGCTGGTGAGCCTGGGACACAAGGGTGGAGGCAGTGGCTGATTCCCCCTCTGCCCTGCAGATCCCAGGGTGCAGCGCTTGTCACGATGAAGGTGTTAGTCTTGGCCGTAGTGCTGCTCTGCGCGTACCACCTGGAAGGTAAGAGTCTCGCTGGGGCCAACCAGCCCCCCTCAACATGATCCATCCACGCTGGACCCTGGTTCATGGTGGGGTACCCCCCCCCCCCCAGCTATTCTGTGCTTGGCAGGAGCCGGATTTGCTGGTGGGAGAGGCTGTTCCCTGCATACTCCTGATCATGCCTCCTCGCCACCCAGTGCCAGCCTCTTTAGTGAGGGAGGGGCTAGGTTAGAGGGTAGACAGGGGAGTCCTGGGGTTCTGTTCCCAGTTGGGGGAGGAGCTGTGGCCTAGCACAGGATGATGAGCACATTCTATGGACCCCTTCCCCCTGGGGCTCAGGGTGTATCCCCTCCCGCATTCCCCATGGGGGTAATAGCTCATCTCCTGGACTCCATGGGGCTGATGGATCCCCCCAGCCCCCCTGCCTTTGCATAAGACAGTGCCCTAACTCATCTCTCCGGGTCCTCCAGGTGCTGTGGTGAAGCGCGAAGCACAAGAAGCCAGCCCCACCCTTACCGAAGTCCTCTCCCAGTATTACCAGACCGTGACTGAGTATATGAGAAAGCAGCTGCCGGAGAAGGAGAAGATGGAGGAGATAAAGAACCAGGCGAAGTATGGGCTGCAGTCTGGAGTGTGTGGGGGGAGGAGTGCATGTTTACTGCCACGGGTGGGGAGTGAACTGGAGGGAGAGAGGGCAGTGGGGAGCGCTGAACGGAGAGTCCACTGGGTGCACGGGCGCATATAGCTGAGGAGCCTCAGAACGTAGGTGCTGTGGTGCCGGGTGCATGAGAGATCAGATGGCAGAGCGTCTGACGTGTGACCCCAGCCCTTAGTAGCAAGGCAGGGCAGGTGGGGCTGGAAGGAGAGAAAAGTCACAGGAGCAGAGTCCCAGGCTGCAGGGAGGACCATTTCCAGCCCAATCCACCATGCACAGCCTGGTCTGAGCCACGGAGTCTTGCGTGAGCCTGGGCAGGACACAGGCCAGCTCTGGGCCTTAGCTGCCGCATAGGGTGTAGAGTGCAGTCGCCGAGCCCAGTAGGCAGGGAGGGCTCTGGCTGCTGTATCTTCCCTTCCCCAGCCAAGTCCCGCTTGTCTCTGAGGAACTGGGTGTCTTTCCCCCTAGGACTTACCTGGATCAGGCCAACGAGCAGCTTGCCCCTATTGCCAAGCGAATGCACACTGAATTCATGGAGCTCATCAACCAGCTGATAGAGACTGGGAAAAAGGCTGCGAAGCAGTGAGTGAGTGGCCAGCTCCCAGCAGCCGAGCAGGGCTGGGCACTCCCCACACCAGTGAGAAGAGGAGACGCGTGGGCCGATTGTGGCACAACCGAGCTGGTGAAATCTCCTGGCGGGCTGGGCCAGGGTCCCAGGAGCAATAAATCTGATGAGACTTCTCACGGTGTCACCTGTGATGCAAAGCCCAGAGCGGAACGCGAGTGTGAACAGGTGGCTGGTTGGGCAGGTGTGCAAGGTGTGTGCGATGCAGGTGTGTTTGGAGCTCTAAGCGTGTGGGCAGAGGTGTGTCCGACTGCCTCCCGCTGGAGGGGGCTGGCCTCCTCAGCTGTGTGGCTATATTGCCTTCTAGTGGCAGGACCCTTGGAAAGGACCAAAGTGCTCAGCGGCCCCAGGGAGAACAATGGAGAGTCTTCCCCCTCCACAGAGAACAATGGAGGGCCCCGTTTCTCTTCCCCTCCCCTCCCCCATACAGAACAATGGAGAGGTTCCCCACCTGCATCACAGCTGTTGCTGTGTCCCCTCTTGGCCACTCACTGGTTTACTGTGAAGGGATCCAGTCTCTGAGTCCCTAAAGTTTTAGCCCCACCCCTCAGGCTGAACAAAGTCCAGGCACTGCCCCTGCCTCAAGGGTGAGCGCACCCTGGGGCACAAATCTATTTACCACCAGCTCCTGAGAGCTGCAACCACATGGCCCCTGTCCACTCAGGTCTGGCCCCTTATACAACACCCTGTTGCTTAAACACCTGTGATGGAGTTTGGGGGCAATTCAGACCAGTGACGGGCAGTGTCGTCACTTGTTCTGCGAGCCTGGATGCTACATATTGCTTTGCTGCTGGAGCTCCCAACCTAGGACACACAGCCAGGAAGCAGCGTGCAGGCCACCCCGCAAGCATCTGTAAGCAAGGCAGCCCTGGATCAGCTCCTCTGACCCCAGCAGCCTATCTACAACCCCATTCTGGCTTCTGCCAGCCTAGCTGCACCCAGCAAGGGGACCCCAACACCCCCGTAGTCCTGTGTGCTCTGTAATGTCCTCCCCTCTCCTGGACCATTCAGAGAAATATATGGCTCCGTTGTTCTAGTAAAGACACAAAACCCACCTGCATGTTAGTTTAACTGGGCTCATTACCAATGTTCCTTCTAATTTTTTTCATCTGTGTGTGGAATAAATGTTATGTGCACCGAGGCATGTGCAGATGTGCACCACTAATAGAAACATATCTGAATTTCTCCTGGGCAGCAGCCCAAATGTTCAATGCACAGGGAACACTGGTCACTACATCTTCCTCTTTATCTTCAGCACTGCAATGACTTGTAGTAAAAATAAAACAAATATATGAACAATAGGACATCGGTTACATGATGCCAAATAAAAGGAGTGAAGTTATAAGAAGTTACAAGCAAATAAATATGAAAAAGCATCTAAAAGTCTAAAACTTATTCTAGCAAGATAGACTTGGTTCCCAGTAGTTTCTCACCAGTATTAAGATTCCAGAGACTTTAAACACTCCCCTTGGAGAACCCCTCTTTCTCCACTTGTAAGAGTTCCTTGTTTGTCTTAGTCTAATGATGGATGCCAAAGATGGCTTCCACCCTTGCATCTTTCTAAGTTCAATGAGCTTGTTTCAAGATGCAGGCTGACCTCATGCTGGCTTCCTGTCCCCCTGTATGTTAACAAGGTGCCACTGCTTCGAGTCCACCATGTTTAATTAAAATAGGAGAGGGGTAAATAGTTGTGACATTCCCTCACGTCTCCTCGTGCCACTGTGACAGAGTGAGGTCACAGAACACCCTTGTGGGGGCTTCCTGGAGAGCTGACACGGTCACTGCTACTCGCCTTTCCACTCTCTGGGGCTCCTCACCACCCTGTCCTGCTGGGCCAGCTCCCTGGTCTCCCCCAGTCAAGACACCAAGCTGAGATCAATGCCACCCTGAGAAGCTGTACAGACACTGAATCTTTTCACTGTACAAGGAAAAGGCAATTTAGGGCCCAGCTTCCCAGGATACCACTCTCCAAACGGGATCAAAACCCGCAATGAATTACTTAGATAAGCCCTCTTTAACAATGAAAGGGGGAATGTACCCACCGATTACCACCTCAGGTAACAATTATTTACACTGGGCTTGATAGAAAATAAAAGTGATTTTATTAAGTACAAGTAGTGGGATTTAAGAAGTAATAAGTGAGAACAGGCAGAGCAAAGTAGATTACAACCAAAAGTAACAAAAAAGGCTTAGCTAATTCTGGGTATGTCTACACTACAATGTTAGTTCGAACTAACAGACGTTAGTTCGAACTAACATTCATAGCCGCTACACTAGCGCTCTGCTAGTTCGAATTTGAATCGAACTAGCGGAGCGCTTAGTTCGAACTAGGAAAACCTCATTTTACGAGGACTAAGCCTAGTTTGAACTTACTAGTTCGAATTAAGGGGTGTGTAGCCCCTTAATTCGAACTAGTGGGAGGCTAGCCCTCCCCAGCTTTCCCTGGTGGCCACTCTGGCCAACACCAGGGAAACTCTATGCCCCCCTCCCTGCCCCGGACCCCTTAAAGGGCCACGGGCTGGCTACGGTGCCCGTGCCAGGTACAAGCCTGCCAGCACCCAGCCGGCAGACCCTGCACCTGGCACGGCACAGAGCCACCTACCCGATGTCCCCCAGCCCACCCCCTCTTCCCGGGACCAGGCTGGCGGCTCCCGGGAGCTTGCCCTGGACCGCAAGAGGCGGGCACCTTCCTGGGCTAGTGCGGACATCGTGGACCTCGTCCACGATCTCCGCACTAGACACAGGAAAGTGGCCGTCTAGGGCAGGAGAGCTGCCAACCTGGCCACCCAGGAGCAGGTGTGCATGAAAATCAAGGGGGTCCACTGAGACCCCTGACCCTGAGCCCTGAGCCCTGAGCTTACAATGGCCGTCCTGGGTCAGACCAAAGGTCCATCTAGCCCAGTAGCCTGTCTGCCGACAGCAGCCAACCCTAGGGACCCTGGAGAGGATGGACCGAAGACAGTGACCAAGCCATTTGTCTCGTGCCATCCCTCTCCAGCCTTCCACAAACTTTGGGCAGGGACACCACTCCTACCCCCTGGCTAAGACTACTCCATGGACCCAACCTCCATGACTTGATCTCACTTCCCTTTAAACTCTGTTCTAGTTGTAGCCTTCACAGCCTCCTGCAGCATGGAGTTCCGCAGGTTAACTATTTGCTTTGTCAAGAACAACAACTTTCTCTTACTAGTTTCAAGCCTGCTACCCAGTCCTTTCCTTTGGTGTCCTCTAGTCCTTCTTTATGGGAACTCAGGAAGAACTTTTCTGAATGCCCCCTCTCCACCCAACCCCTGCTTTTAGAGACCTCTATCCTGTCCCCCCTCCGTCTCCTCTTCTCTAAGCTGAACAGTCCCAGTCTCTGTAGCCTCTCTTCATCTGGGACCTGTTCCCAACCCCTAATCATGTTAGTTGCCCTCCCCTCTCCCAGCCTTTCTCTTCCCCTCTCCCACCTCCTTTTCCCAGTCTCCCCCAGTTTTGTTCAATAAAGACAGAGTCAATGTTGGAAGAAACGTTATCTTTATTTTGTACATCAATAAGAAGGGGGGCTAGGGAAGGGTAAGTGGAAGGAGGTGAGGGAGGAATGGGGTACGAGCCCCCGATGGGGAGGACTGGGCTGGCTCTGCGGGCTTCTGGGGGTGGAAGCTCTCCTGCAGCCCCCCAATTACTCCCTCTCCCCAGATGGCAGCCTGCGGCAAGTGCAGCCGGGCTGATGGCCGAGTGGTGTGATGTGCCCAGTGTGGGTACTCCGGGCACTCCAAGCCAGAACTTCTTTGCAAGCGGGGCACCCCTTAGAACTGTCTGTCCGGGGTGGGGGTCGGGACCCTTTAAGCGCAGCCCTCGGCTAGCCTGAGACAGCATCTCCATGCTCTAAGTCCTCCTCTGATGCCCTGCCGGCACTGCTTCCGGCCATCCTTAAGCCCTGTTCAGAGTCCACTCAATGTGGACTTGCTAGTTCGAATTAGCAAAACGCTAATTCGAACTAGTTTTTAGTTCTAGACGCGTTAGTTCGAATTAGCTTAGTTCAAATTAACTAATTCGAACTAAGTTAGTTCGAACTAGCGCTGTAGTGTAGACATACCCTCTGACACTAAAATCCTCAGCACAAACTTTTTATAAACTCACCCTAAAAACGTCTCTTTTCCAGCAAAAGACAGGACTGTGTAGCACTTTAAGGACTAACAAGATGGTTTATTAGGTGATGAGCTTTCATGGGCCAGACCCACTTCCTCAGATCAAATAGTGGAAGAAAATTGTCACAACCATATATACCCACAAAAGCTCATCACCTATTAAACCATCTTGTTAGTCTTTAAAGTGCTACACAGTCCTGTTTTTTGTTTCAGCTGCACCAGACTAACACGGCTACATTTCTACCTCTTTTCCAGCAAAGCCTTCCAAACCAGGGTTTGGCCCCAGACTTGAAAACACAGTATCATTAGGTATCCGTCTTTCCTCCTATGGCGTTTACTACAGATATTTCACAATGGTAGTAATTACCAGCATGTTATTGGCTTTCAGAAAAGACTTCATTATATGCACTATATGCTTCTACAACACAGTATCATTGCGTATCCAATTGCTTATCATTTGAGATTCAACCCTCTCCCTTCATCCCCCATCTTTATAGACCCATAAACTTTTGTAATGGATCCTTTGACAAATAAAACCTAGACAAGCGTCTCTCTTCTGCTGGGTGCAGATACCATGCTGTCTCCTCCCCCTCCCCCTCTTGCCAGCTTGATGGGTCTGTTTATGTTATTCATTAATCCATTGTCATTGTCTTTGAAAGTACTTAGGAAAAACTCCCAGGTGGGCACAATACATTTCTCTGTCTACTGCAGCCCTGATTACCAACTTCTCCTGGTTTAAACACATTTTAGCCATAATTCTAGCATATATCCATAACTCTTACTACCCACTGCGTACATACATCACACAAGAAAATTAGGGTTGCCAGATAGTTGCACAAAAAATATCAAACATGGTGAGGAAAAAAAACAGGGGACCAAAGTTTTTTTTTTATCAGACACCAGGCAACCCTAAAGAATATTGATGATCAGTGTGATAATCACTTCTCAGCCTTTTGGCTAAGATGATGTTTAGTTTTCAAATGGCA